AGATCGTGAAAACTCTGAATTTTCAGCATTTAAATTTTTTATTTAAAGAATAACTATCAAACATAAAAAAGAATTAGGAATATAAAAAAATTAACTCTTTTGTGTTTATTACTAGACCACTACATATATTCGATTGAATTATTAAAAAAAAATTTTGTTTGTATAGAGATGGTACAACGAAAAAATCAAATAAGAGTGAATAAAACAAAAGTCATAATTTAACAAAAAAAAAACTTGTCTTTGACAGTCATATTGGAACGACTTTTCCTACCACGTAATACTTTATATTATTTTTTTAACATTCATTTGCACGTGAAAATTGTGTTATTGCTCCGATTAGTTTTATCTTATTTAAAATTGGGAAAAGATTATTCCTTAAACAATGATAAAGAAATCTTTAATGTTTTGTTTATTGAGACAACTGTGTTTATTCCTTTGTATTATGTGCTAATATGATCATTGTTAACGCTTGTTTTTAACGAATATATTTCTATAATTTTTGTTGACTTCGATCATTCTGTTGCGCGTTTCAATAAAAGATCTATAAGCTTTTTTGTTTTTCTTTTGATTCATGTTGAATTTTCAAAAAGTTGTAGAACTTGACATCTATAAATTAACCAATGCATGGTAAAACTATTATTTAATTAATTATTTATGTACACCACTGTTTGATTTACATCCAAAGATTAAAAATGTTTAGGCAATTACTTTAAATCGGTAGATTATTTTCTGATATGTCCCCAATTATTTTTTGATATGTCCCCAGTCGAATACATATTTAAAAAAATTTCAAAATAATCAAATATGAGTTTTGTCATGTATCTTCCACACATATACAGTATATAGGCAAACTATATCATCTACCTGTATAGAAAAACTGATATGACTGGCTGTATTTTATATCTTATCTTGACCACGTAACAACTAACAAGTTGCTAAACTGGTGATCATGTCTTTGCTAAGTTACACATACTGAGTGTTATAATTTGGCTTATTGGCTAATATCTAGTTCAGTAGAGATGAAAATCTTCTGTTCTCGAGTAGTCTTCCTGTTATTTTGATAGAGATTAGAGATAGATCTTCCCTAATGTAAGTGGCCTGGTGTTATAGTGATGCAACC